AACACAGGAGATCATTTAATCTCTTTATTATATTTTATTCAGTTACAGTCGCCTTATGAACGAAGAGGCCCGGTTCTGACTTCCTGCTATCAGCAGCTGTTCAAACATCACATTTAATCAGGTATCTGTCTTTTCTGGTCACCAGTAATCAGTATCGACCCTCAAGAAGCCACATCGGTCCTACATGACCTGATTTTTCATCAATAACGACGACTGTAGCTGCAGATGTGACGACTGGCCAGTGATTGGCTGCATGCGGTGTGCTGGAGCTGCACGACGCTGCAGGAAACGCTGCGACGTTTAGTTGTCCTGCGACGGGAAAACGCATCTTAGCTTTAAGCATACAAAATGTTATATGAATGAAATAAGTAAAAATAAAAAACATAATTTAATAAAATTGCAAGATAAAAGTTGGAATTTCACGAATTTCTCTCAAGATGCAAAAACAAAACGACATCAGCCGTTTATAACTCGGGTTCTAATTGAGATTGATCAGCTTCCTGCAGCTCTGTTTGCAGTTCGTCTCTGTTCTAGATCCAAATCCTAAAGTGCTGTTAATTGTTGTTTTCCAAGATTCTGTTTCAGATTTTTCTGCCTCCTAACTTAGCCGCTAGCCGTTAGCGTAGCCGTATCCACCGTGAAAGACTTCCTGGTTCGTGGCGACGGCTTGTTTGTTTTTCTGCAGGTTGCATCAGACCTAAAGTTCTGCATTTAATAAACAAATGATCGGTTGATTAACAAGCCGAATATCGGCCCTGAGAATCACTCGGTCCCTGTGCAGGCTGCAGTCTGTTTCCAAAGCAGCCTGGTTCGCTGGACGCCTCTCATCCCTGCTGTCATGTTCTCACTTGTTTGCAAACAGCGACTTTCCACTTGTCAGTCCTCGTTAATAAAGTGGACGGTCAGGGTTTGGCTGTCCAGCTGGAGCTGCAGATCGTTCCAGCCGTCTCCACTCCGTCGTGCAGCTCCGGGACGACAGCTTGAGAGAAATGGCTGCGTGACGGCGTCGCGTTTTTTAAAAACCTCCTTCGGTGACTCCGTTAATTGGCATCGTGTCTTTCACATCAGGGATTCTCTGCCGTTTGGAACCTTTCTCGTTCGGTTTAACGCATCCAGAGCAGTTGTTCCTCCTGCCTCGGATGGCGTTCGGATCTTCGGAGCTTTGTGCTGCTGATTGAAACGGTGAAACAAATTAATCGCGTTGCCTCTTGTGGTGGCAACAACCTCAACACCCTGCTGACTGCAGAACACGACAAAGGTCACGTGTTGGAGCTCGTCTCCATCGCAGGGTGGATGTTGAAGCAGCACAGTGTACTGTGTGTTCCTAACTGTGGCTGAAGATTATTTTCGATTATTTTTAATTAGTTTGTCTCTTAATCGATCAGTTGTTGGTGAAAATATTTTCTAAAAAGCTGAACGAGGCCCTCTGCCGCCTCCTCTTGCGGCGTCGCGCTGCTAAAGGCGGCTTTTCTTTGGATGACATTCAGATCTTTGCTCTTGTCACACGGAGCTTTGTGCCGCTGATTTAAATGGTCGGACTAATTAGTTGTGTTTCCTCGCGTGGTGACAGAGAAATATTTCCACTCTGCTGATTTCTCTTTCTTTTCTCCTTCTCTTTTGTTATTTGGCTGCACACACACTCGTTCACCCTCAGCCCGGTCGCTGCTAAATTACGTTCCTGTGCAACTAAACTGCATCTCAATTAAAAAGACTTTTGTTTTCAAATAAACTTTATTTCTGACTTGGTGGGAGCATCAGAATTAAGCTTTTCTAGTTTTCCGTTGTTTACTTTCAGTTTTCAGTCGATTTCTGGTTCAATTTAGGAACAAAAGTTAAAAATTGACTCGGTTAAAGTTTGGAAAAATGTCATCGTTGTCGCTCTGTTTTCTGTGTTGCCATGGTGACAAGTCCCACCCCATTGGATGTGATTGGTTGGCTGAAAGGGAGCCACCGTACAATGAAAAGAAAAAAAGAGCAGAAATAGCAGCGATGTGTTGATTATCACACTTGAACTTGTTCTGTGGCGCTTGTCCAGGTTGTGTTCTCCTGACTGGACCCTCGCTGGTGCTGAACCTGCTCTCAGGCGAACGTCGCTAAATGAAACCGTAGATTAGAAATGAAACAGTTTCGTTGTGATGATTGTGTGCAGCCAAACTCTGTCTTTTAAATAAAGTTTTAAAGAGTCCAAAGAGACCTTAAATCAGCATAAACAACCTTCTGTGTTCTTTGCAAAGTTGTTCGTCAGGTTTCCACAGCGACAGGAAACAGAAAGCTGCACACACACTGAACACAAATGCAGTTCAGATGGCAGCATGTTGGGAGAGAGCTCACGGTGTCCAGCAGCAGCAGGAACAGCTGCAGGATGATGCGTTTTGATTTCCCAGCGTGGATCCTGGACGTGTCGTGCAGCTCCACTGTACACCGAAGTGGACTAACAGGACAGTGAATGCAGCACAAAGGGAGAGCCGCTTACATTGTCAGAACAGCTCGCAGTGTCACAATGTCGCGCATCCTCCGGTGTGAAGAAAAGGTTTGGGGATGGAGGGGGAGCTGAAGGTCAGGGTCACTGATCTGCAGAAACTCTGCGCTGTTTGATCTGTAAATGGCACCGACTGGGGCCGTCGCCGGGCCTCTGATGTTCCTGGGAGGGAGGCGGTGAGCCGACATGGGTATGAGAGTGAGTAAGGGCATGCGTGTGCGCTCGCCGTACGTCCGTGTGTGCCGTGTTTGTGTATGCATCGCAGAGGGCCGGCGTTTCATCACCACAACGCCGAGGAAAGTAACAAAAAGCGCTGCATCCGTGCTCACAAACAACCGCTGTTAGGAATTAAACCGTAGCACTTTGATGAACTTGCTTTGAAGACCTCGTCCTCGGCGCGCTCTTTACAAAAACACTCCCTGCTGGAGAATTCGCGCGACAGCCCGAGCTGTTGCAGCCCCGCGGCTGCCGCACAAAAACCGGAGGCCCCGGTGACGCAGGAGTAACGCTGTTTGTTGCTTTCTCTCGATGTTGCAGCTGCAGTTTGGACTCAGAGGACGAACTTTGCATTTTTTAAACCACATCTGCTGCTCTCTTCCCCCCCTTCCTCCCCCAAATCAGGAATCAGGTTCCATCTTTCTCCAGTTCAGCTCCTCCACGGCGCTGCAGCTGGAGGTCATCTTCGAGGTGCTGGAGGAGTACGACTGGACCGCCTTCTCCGTGGTGTCCACCCGCCACCACGGCTACCAGGACTTCCTGTCGGTGGTGGAGGGCCTGACGGACGGCTCGTTCATCGGCTGGGAGAAGAAGAGCGTGGTGATCCTGAACGTGACCGACGACCCCGGCGGCGCTCGAACCCGCCGCCTGCTGAAGGAGAACGAGGCGCAGGTGAGACAGGGGGGAGGGAGGGGGGAGGAGAGGGGGAGGAAAGGGGAGGAAGTGCTGCCCCGGTTCTGACAAGGCGGCTTCCCAGGTTTTTCCTTCCTTCTTCTTCGACTCTCCCTCTGTCCCTCCGCATCTCTCTCTCCCCTCTCTCCTCTATCCCTCTGTTCTTCTCTCCCTCCATCTGCCGAGGCTTCCACGAGTCGGTCCGACCCGCCGTTGTGTCTCCAGTGTTTGGAGGTAGAAGGTTCTCCAGACAGGAACCGCTAGAAAACAAACACCATCGTAGTACTCAGGGCTCCAGACCAACGTTTTCTCTGGTCGCACCTCCCGCCTTGACTTGCTGAACGTTTTCTTATCGATAGACGCTACGATTCACCAATGTTCCCTAAACGCCCCACATCGCAGGCTGCTGTAGCTGCGATGTGCTCAGACAGGTGTGCAAATTACACTGAAAGTAGTTAAACTAGGGCGTTGTAGTGTCAGATTTGTCCAAGATGATTGCGTTTTTAAATGTAAATACACTTTATAAGTACACCAAAGTAACAGGAGTACTACTTTCCACCACTGTGGTTAACGCGGTAGCTGCCGACACTAACACAGTGTCGTGATCGTCGTGCATTCGCGCCAACGCAACTTGCAAGCTCTCAAAAAGAGGTTGCAGTCTGGAGCCCTGTTAGCCCAGCGTTTAGGCTGATCCATGGTTTCTTCAGGTCCAGTGTGGACGCACATGCAGTCCTGATCATACCACAGGAGTTATGCATTGGTTTGCTACGTGGGCGGTTCCTCATGTTGAACACCAAGAAAGAGCTCTGTGGATGTTTCTGAAGAGCTCTGGATGTAGGAAGTGCTGGAGAAAGCAACACTGAAGATGGTTTAACATGATAAAGGTGTTCAGTTTCACACATAGCGACGTTATTCGACCAGCATGAGGCTAGTCCGTGGTTTCTTCATGACCAAGGTGGATGTTCAGGTGGTTCTATTCCTGCTACTGTAGCTATGCATTGGTTTGCTCCATAGACGGTCTGATTGAACACCAACAAAGAGCTCTGTGGATGTAGTTTCACATTGCCAGACCATTCTGTGGGAATGGGATGACAATGGGAGACGACCGCCCTGGTGATGTTGAATTCTAAACGTGAGGATGACGGCGCGTCTCCTCCTACAGTCTCTCCTCGTTACAAGCATTTGCCTTCTTGCAGTGCAGACAGTGGGTGTAGATGCACATTTTGGACTGCAGTTGGACGCCTACGGAGCGGTATCAGTGGACCGTCACCAACTTGGATAGATGACAGAGTTTAAGTCGTGATACATGAGTACAGAATGTCCACGAAAAGTGAGACGCCATCGTGTTGCAGTAGAACAGATACGACCGACTGTGCAGGTATGGAGCAGACCAGGTGGTTTCCTCATGACCGATGTGGACGTGATGCGGTTCTATTCATAGGTGCTCGTCCATCTGCTGTCATTGGCCCTCGTGTTGAAGCCACAACAGCACTCAGGGCTCCATGGATGTTAAGAAGTCGTGCAGGACACAGCAGCTGCTTCCTGATTGGACTGTAGCTCTGCTAACGATGAAGTCTAAAGTGTGGATGATGGAGAATCTCCTCATGACAAGCATTTGTTTTAGTTCCATTTGTTTGCAGGCACATTCAGTCTGGACTGGACTGGACCCTTCTGACTTGAGTTGATGATGAGATCATGTGTTCTGTTGGATGTGCAAACACAAAAAGCCCAAATTGGTCTTTCACTTTCTGTTTTAACATTTAACACCTGGACTGGATCTGTTCTGCAGACATCAGTCGTCCAATCAGTGAGAAGAACATCTCAGATCTCCACGTTGTCGTTCTTTCGGGGTAAATGACTTTTACCGTCACAGACACTGTGTTTGTCTGCAGCCGGACTCTGGTTGTTATTTCTATGGTTTAATTCTGACTCCTCGTAGTTCTAGCTCCAGATGTTTTCACTTCACTTCCACCGAGCTACGTTGTCCTTTTCAGCTTCTCAAATCAAGTTTGAAGTGATGATGTTGTAGAATCTCAAACTGGGATTTTGACTCCTCAGAATGTAATTACAGATCTGCTGAGTCGCAGTTCTGACTCTGCTGCACATCTCTGTAGTCAGAAGCTCCGCTGAGTGGGAGGGGCTTGTTCCTGGCAGCTGTTTTACCTTCAAGTCAGAGCAGCCGAGGACCACGTTCGAGGAAAATTTAGCCTCAAGCCTCTGAAGAAGGAAGCTGTGGTTCTCCACAGACTCCTCCTGGTTTTCTATTTCTGACCATGTGATCCACCACAGCAGCAAACATGGCTGCTGCTGATGAGAAGCCTCACATGAGCAGCAACAGCTCAGACCAATCAGCAGCTGTTGTTCTGACTGAGCTGGATGATGGAGATCCGTCCGCTCAGAAAGATGTCAGAGCGATCCGAGGTAAAACGACAACGTGGCACATTTAAATCTGGAATTAAATGTTAAAACAACATCGAGGGTGTGTTTGAGTGAGTTTCGTCATCGTCTCCGTCTCCATGCAGCTTCAGATTTACCTGCTCGTCCGGCGACGCTTTAATTCCAGTCGTGTGCATGCATGAAATATGCATGAGTGCGACTGAGTCTACCGAGTGGACCAGAATCGTAGTAAATCACCAACAACTACGTGCATCTGTACAGGACTGTAATCCCGGCTTTACAGTCTTACTGCAGCGAGTCTCTTCAAAAACAACGTCGACTCCCAGAGAGCTAATCGTGACTTTCCTTTAAGTGGAAATGTGCTGGTTGTCTTGTGAAGGGTGTGTGTACGTGTTTCTGATACCTGTTGCAGTAGGTACACGTGGAACCTTTGGAATCGGTTTGGTTCTGACGGGTTCTGATTCTGTTTCTGAAGAGATGTAACTCAGTTTATCATCTCTCTCTTCATTTAGTGTTGATTTTAATTAACTGTCCAGATATTACAGTTACATCGAAGGTATACGTGGAAACTCTGGCTTCAGTAGGGGGTCGGTTTTACTGCACGGTTTGTACGGATCAGTTCGGAACCAGAACCTATAAGAGATTGTAACTTCGGCTTTTCTGGTTCCATTTTGAAAAGAGATGCAGCTCCGTTTAATGTGAAAAAAAAAATAGAACTGAACACCGAGCAGGAAGCTGAAGCATTTATCATCAGAACATCAGAATCCAGTGGGATGTGCTGTCCCAAATCACAGGTTCTGTCTCACCAAGGAGCCAAAATAATGAAGCTGTTCCGGTGCAATAATGTAATGAAACGCTAATTTTATCTTTCTGCTTTTTATTTGGAAGCTTTGGAACCAGAAGAGGGTCTGGAGGTCCGATTCATGGTTTGGTTTCAGAGGAGATGCAGCTCAGCTTCATGTAGAAACTGAAATATTGAGCATTCAAAGTGGAATATTGCACAATAAGTTCAACGACTGCACATGAAAGTGAAACTGATTTTGCACAAACTGCTGAATGTGCAGATTGTTTATGATTTAAGATTCCAGTTTGACCTCAGCTCAGTTTATGACCACTATGGGACTAGCTGTCTAGATCAAGCCTGTGCTACATGAGGAAGCTCTGGGATCAGTGGACGTGTCTGGGTCTGATTCAGGGTTTGGTTCTGGAGGAGACGTCGCTCAGTTTAATGTAAAAACTGCACATTAAGCTGCATGAGAGTGGGACATTACGAAATAAATCTGAAATATTGCACAATATCGAAACTGATTTTGCACAAACCGGCGTCAGATTTGAAAGTGATGGAACTCGTTATGGAATCTAAATTAATTAACTGTCTGCATCAGAGGCGGATGTGTGGAAACTCTGGAGTCAGTTTGTAGGAATCAGCCTATAAGCATGCAGCCGGGTTTGTTAGCGCCGTGGGATGTGTCCCTCCCGGTTTGTTTGAGCTCTACTGTACAGTCCGACCAGAATGAGTCGTGGTTTTGGTTCTGCTGCTTCCTTCCTTCCTTCCTTCCTTCCTTCCTTCCTTCCTTCCCGCTGTCCGCCTGCTGTCCTTCCTTACTTCTCCCCTCTCGCTTTCACTCTGAACTTGCTGGGTTTTTTTTTTTCCTTTTTTCCCTCCCCTCATTTTTCATCGTTTCTCCCAATCAGACCTCCCTCAAACCTCCTCTCTGACCCCCACGGTTCCTCCCCCACCCGTCGGCTTGTTTCGCTAATGTCCATGTTCTTACTCCTCCCCCTCCTCCCCCTCCTGCGTTTCTTTGCCTGGAGACAAGCTCTCGCTCTCTCCTCTGCCTCGCTCTTCACCTCCATCTCTGCCCGGCTATCTTTCACCGCCGCCGTCCATCCGTCCACCGAGCCCCTCGTTGGCGCTCAATGTCATCGCCGGCGTGTTTGACGCGGCACGCCGGCTGCAGCCTCACACTCCTGTAACCTTCCTGCCGTTTCCACGGCGGCAGCGGCGCTCTCTCCATCCCTGCAGGGCTAATAAATAATTGTGATTGCTCAGTGATGCCGTGTGTGCGTTGCATCCTGGTTCTGTGCTACGCAGCGTCCTCGCGGCCCGGCCAGCGGGTCTCCGGGTCAGCTCCTGCTCTCGGCGTCTACCTTTTTGTTCCATCCCTCTTCCGGCTTCAGCGTTTCTCCGTCTGCTCTCCATCTCCCATCTTCAGATACTGAGTGTGTCTGTTTATAACTCTGATTCTCTCCCCCTGTCTGTCACCCTCTGCCTCCCCCCTTCCTCTCATTCCCGGCCTAATTCACTGGAGCTTTATTGGCATCCAGGCTGGATTGTTTTGCCAAGCCATTACAGTTCAGAATTCAATGAAGGCGCAGTTCTCAGAATGTGCTTTCAGTCTGTTACCCCTCCACCTCCCGTTGCATAAAAGAGTTGTCTTCCTCTTTTTGTCCTTCACTTCCCCTTTGTACCTTTTTCTTCCATTTTTTCGATTCTCTTCTTTCCTTTTCTTCTTTTCTAACCTTCTCTCTCTCCACATTTTCCCTCCCTGTGGTCACTTGCCTCCTCCTCATCCTCCTCTTCCTCCCTCCTCACCTCAGCGTTTGCAGCAGAGAGCTCATCCAATGTCACTGCTGTCTTTAATGTTATTTTTTCCTCCCTCTTCCTCTCTCTCTCTCTCTCTCTCTCTCTCCTCTCTCTCCTCAGCCCCGTTCAATCATCCCACCTCCTCTCTCACAAATATCTCTTATCTCTCCAGGCCCTGATTTCACCAAAATATGTCACCCTTTTGCTTTTCTTCGATTCCCTCTTTTCCTCCTCCTCCTCCACCTCCTCCTCCGATCTCTAAGGAGTGACTCTCCCCATCCTCCTCCTCCTCCTCCTCCTCTCGCCTCCTGTTGTCTTCTGCCTTCTTCTAATAACGCGTCACAGTTTAACCTCTTGTCCTCTTGTGTTCCCTCAGGTGTGTTTGCTCTTTAACCCTCCTCTCCAGATTCCTCCCCACTTCTTCCCTCCTTGCCTTTCTTGTGTTACCCCCTCGTTTTTGTTAATATTCATCAGGCTCATTAAGCGCTGACCTCATGGTTTGCTCTCATCTCTCGCATCCTTGCATCCTTGCATCCTTGCAGCCTCCTCCCTTCTCCATGGAAGTCATGCTCCTGACTTCCATGCAGCTTATCACATCAGCTCCCAGCTATCTGTCCTCTTGCGTCTCCCGGCATCCTTGTTATTCGTCGATACGCTCCCTCCTATCCCCCCCCCGCCTCCCCCACGGCTCTATCTGCCTCCCCCCTCGCCTCCCCCCTCCCCCGTCTCCCCTCCTTATCTCACAGGTGTGTATGTGTGTGTGTGTCCTCCCCCGGCTCCCTCCCTGCCTCCCTGCCGCCCCGCAGGTCCGTCTGCTGTACTGCTCCCAGGAGGAGGCCGAGCTGGTCTTCAAGGCCGCCTGGGCCGCCGGTCAGGCCGGGGCGTCGCACATGTGGTTCGCCGTGGGCCCGGCCCTCTCGGGTCTGGGCATGGAGAGCCTGCCGCGGGCCCTGTTCGCCGTGAGGCCGCAGGGCTGGAGGGACGAGCCCCGCCGGAGGATCGCTCGGGGGGTGTCGGTGCTGACCCACGGGGCCGTGGCCATGAGGAAGGAGTACGGGACCACGGGCGGGCCCAACTTCGTCACCAACTGCATGACGGACGCCAACCAGACGCAGAGGCTGAGAGGAAGGATGAGGTGAGGAGGGTCACGGCGGGCTCCAGACAGAACACCGGCTCCAGAACCTCTCTGAGAACTTTGTTAATCCAGAAGGAAGTCCTGGTGCCGGGTGGGTCAGAGACGAGATGAGAATAGACGCACTGCTTGATAGAAAAGCAACATAAATATGATTTATTACTGAAAATAAAGCTAAATGAGGGCTGCAGGTGGATCAGTGGTTAGCACCGTCGCCTCACAGCTAGAAGGTCGCTGGTTCGTGTCCCGGTGAGGACACCCGGGATCTTCCTGCGTGGAGTCTCCATGTTCTCCCCGTGCAGCGTGGGTTCTCTCCGGGTTCTCCGGCTTCCTCCCACAGTCCAGAAACATGCTGAGGTTAATTGGTGATTGTAAATTGTCCGTAGGTGTGAATGTGAGTGTGCTTGGTTGTCTGTCTCTAAGTGTAGCCCTGTGATAGACTGGTTACCTGTCCAGGTGAACCTGCCTTCACCCTGAGTCAGCTGGGATAGGCTCCGCCCCCCCATAGTGAGGATGAAGGTGTAGAGATGATGGATTGATGGGAAATAAATGAGGGAGACTAAGACGGGAACAGAAACGTGAGACGTGACGCTGAAGCAGCGACACGTGATGGTCAAAGACTGGACGAGAAAATTAAATATTACACATGAATTAAAATATCACTCATGAAAGTTTAATGTCGCACATTGAATTGAAACTGATAAATTATTATCTACATGTGAATTATTTAGAGGATGTTTTTCTTCTGGTTTGTTGAAGTTATTTGTTTTGATGGAAGCGTGAAGCTGAGAGCAGCGATTGATTCATCAACTGACTGATTGATCATCTGCTCGATAGAACACCAGAGAACCATGAGAAATGTTCTGTATATTTTCCAGAATGCATAGCTGGCATCTTGCACCGTCCCAGAGTACTAACTAGATGCGGTTCTACTCGTCTGTACCAGCAGAACGTGTTTTTGTTCTGAACTCTGCTTTTGTCAGCTTCAGCCTGTTTTTAATGGAAGAACCAGAACCACTGCAGATTCTCACGTTTACGGTTCACAACGTAATCGTTCTTAAATCCGTTCGTCTGTCCGCCTGGAAGAGCGGTTCTAGATTCTAAGTTTGGATTCATTTAGGGTTCTAGGGTTCTATGTTCCTGCTCACAACGACTGATCTGATGTTCGTGTCGCCTCCCAGCAGCTGACATCTTTAACGTCTGACTTGTCTTTGTGTTGATTTACGTGAGAAGGAACCTGCACGTAATGGTTTGATTTAAAATGCTGAGAACCATTTCAATAAGGTTCCACAAAGAACTATCTAGACAACGGTTCTTTATTTGTGCTACGGTTGTCTGGAGTGACTTTATGGTTCCTAAAAAAGGCATTTTTTGAGTTTTTTTGATGCATCTTGTTGTAGAAATGCTTCTCGCTTTGCAGAACTAGAAACGCTTTCGCCACCGAGCGTTCCAGGTTTTATTGTCTCAGTTTGTGTGGAACCGAGACCGACACGGATCGAGGTGTGTTTTATGAACGGAGCTTTGGTTGGAGGACGAGCAGGAAGATGCATCCAGTGTTTCTAGATTTGAAGCTTGGCTCCACGGGTTCATTTAAGGTTCTAAGGTTCTATGTTCCTGCTCACAGAGACCGATCTGGTGTTTGTGTTGATTTACGTGAAAAGGAACCTGCTAGAAATGCTTAAAGAACCATTTAAATAAGGTTCCACAACAAACTATCTAGAAAATGGTTCTTTATTTTTGTTTAAAGTTTTTAAAAATGCTGTTTATGGTTCCTACAAGAAGCATTTTTGATGTTTTTTGATGCACCTTTTTGCAGAAATGCTTCTCACTTTGCAGAACTGAAAACGGTTCCTGCAGCTAAGCAGGAGCTTCGAGGACGAGCTGGAAGATGTGTTCAGTGTTTCTAGATTTTCAGTTTGGATCCACGGGTTCATTTAAGGTTCTGTGTTCCTGCTCACAGAGACCGATCTGGTGTTTGTGTCGCCTCTCGGCAGCTGACATCTTCATCGTGCGACTTGTCTTTGTGTTGATTTACTTAAGAAGGAAGCTGCTAGAAATGCTGAGAACCTTTTAAATGAGGTTCCACAACAAACTGTTCTTTATTTGTGCTGCGGCTGTGTGGAGGGACTTTTATGGTGCCTACAAAAAGCATTTTTGGATGTTTTTTGATGCACCTTTTTGCAGAAATGCTTCTCGCTTTGCAGAACTAAAACCGTCTCTGAGCATCCCTGGTTCCAGTCAGCAGCTTTGTTCTCCGACCGAGACGGATCGAGGTGTGTGTTCTGTGAAAGGAGCTCTGGTGCTCGGCCAGGTCGAGCTGGAAGACGTCCGGGTGGAGCCGCTGGGCGTCGGTGTCAGGGAGCAGCCACGGAGGGGATGTCTGAATCCGGAGCTGGCTATCATCCATGCAAAATAGATGTTGTTGGTGCGTGTAGTTGTGAGTCGGCGAAATTAGCCCAGCATCTGTAGCCAGCGGAGCATGTCTCATGTATATTAATGAGCTGGCTTTAATGTATTCCTCGTAGGCAGCACAAGCACACACTCTAACAGGTAGCTTCATTCTAACTCCACTTATTCTCGCTCACGCTCTTCACATACAGACTCTGGTCACCGTGAAGCGGAGCCCAAACGTGTCATTAATTAGTTTACTCGCAGTAATTTTAGTAAATGATGCTCAGCACAAACAGCGCTGCAATTATCAGGACGTGATTAATGGATTCTTCTGTCTGTGTGTTTAAAGTGCGTCCAGGACTGCGGGAAGATGTGTTCATTTGCATTTCCTTTGCACTGCTGCCTGCCGTTCAGCGGCTGCAACTGCAGGCTGCGGCTGGCGTCACGCAGCAGAGCGAGCAGCTCTCAGGTTGTGTGTTCTGACGGCGGCGGGATGACATAAGGAGACAATTAGAAGGTCTGTCCTGTGTGATTATCAGACAAACTAAGGAGCCGGCAGCCGACGCCGAGAGCGGCAGTTGTTTGACTTCAAAGATCCTGACAATCCGGCGCCTCTGATCCTCCGTCTGCACGTTTGATGAGCAGACTGTCACCACAGAGGTGCTGCGGCTCGGTTTCAGGTAGAAATAGAACAGGGCAGGCGTTCTGCTGCATCAAACGCATCCCCGACATCCTCTCTCTGCCCTCCTCGTTTCCTTCAAGCACGTTGTTAATTCAGCCGCTAACGCTGCGTCTCCTCCTCCTCCGACGTCTCTGCAGGTATTTCAGCAACATCACGCTCGGCGGCAGAGACTACTCCTTCAACATCGACGGCTACCTGGCCAACCCCTTCCTGGACGTCATCTCCTGGACACCTGGACGAGGATGGGAGGACGTAAGGCCCCGCCGCCGCCGCCGCCGCCGCCGCTTGACCTCTAATCATGTGTTGGTGGAGCTGATTCACAGGCAGGAGGCTCGTTTAAGGCCACAGGATGAGCATTATGTGCCTCATGTCATTTAGAAACTCCACCTGAGGTCTGTGCTTCTTGTGATGCATTTACACAGAACGAGCAACGAATTTACTGACACAGAATTTACCCTCAAAATGCTCCAAAGGTCACAATTTCCAACTCAGCCTCCATCATTCTTAAGAAAGGTGCAAAGAAAACAAGAAATTGTGCAAAAAAAAAAGAAAAGAAAAGAAAATTACCTTAAATAACTGAAATGCAGAGTCACACATGGTTTCTTTCAGGCCCTTTGCTCGCAGGACGAGGACTGTGTGCCTGATGTAGTTTAGAAATTCTTACCGACGTCTTTGTTTTGCTCAAATTTAACGACAGAATTTACCCTCAAAATGCTCCAAATGTTAGAATTCCAAACTCAGCCTCCATCATTCTTGAGAAAGGTGCAAAGAAAACAAGAAATTCTTGCAAAAGAAAATTAGAAAACGGCCTCAGATCACTGATCCACACATGGTCTCGTTCAGGCTCTTTGCTCGCAGCATTATGTGTCTCATATCATTTAGAAATTACAGCCGACGTCTGTGTTTTGCTTGAATTTACTGACACAGATTTTACCCTCAAAATGCTCCAAAGGTTAGAATTCCCAACGCAGCCTCCGTGAATCTTCAGAAAGGTGCAAAGAAAACAGGAACATTTTGCAAAAACTCATAAAAAAATCACCTTAAGTCCCTGAAATACGGATTTTTCAAGCTGCTCAGTTGTTCTAAAGACGGTTAAAAACGCTCTCTTGTATTTTACTGTAAACGTTCCCGAGACGTTTTCATTTAGTTCCTGTTTATGGATCGATGCTGTTTCATGTAGGATTTCCAGCCTCCATAGTTCTGGAGACGACGACAAGACAAACTAATGAAACGGTTCCTTAGATCACTGGAGGGTTCATGTGATCACCGTACCTCTGTGTTTGGTGGAATCTGGATTCCTGCTTTACATATTGCAGACGTGGCAGGTTTATACAGGATTAAGGTCACTTATTCAATTATTCTAAACTACCGGAGATCCCCGGGTGGCGCCGGTCCGGTGGGAATCAGGCTTCAGGAGAGAAGAGGCCTGAAAAACATGAAACGCTTTGTCGTATTTTATCGTAAAATGTCAGAATTCATAATTCTGTGGCTGGAACTCGTCCTGAATTTGCACCAAAAACGTTCTTTCACTCAGAATATTCAGTGCAGCCTCCGTACCGCTCAAGGAAAGTGCTGAGAAAACTTGAAATCTTGCTAAAACTAATAAAAAATGACCTCCGATCCACTAAACGCTGATCGGTACGGGACTGATGCTACCTCCTGAGCTCTGGTGGAATCTGGATTCCTGCTTTACATATTGCAGACGTGGCAGGTTTACACAGGATTAAGGTCACTTATTCAGTTATTATGAACTACCAGAGATCCCCGGGTAGCGCCGGTCCGGTGGGAGTCGGGCTTCAGGAGAGGAGAGGCCTGCTCCACGCTAGATGTCTCCTAACTGGCTGTAGCTTCGTCCTCTGTGAAGCCAACAAACGCCTGCAGCCACTGAACCCGGAGCAGCAGTTCTGCTTACCCGGTTCCTACGTCTGACTGCAGGATCCGCGTCGGCCCGGAAACCGGAACAGAAACCTGACAGCGGAGATGAGCGGGTCACGGGTTCGTGTTCACGTAAAGTTCAGGTTAGCGACGGACGCCTGAGGCAGAGCCGAGGATCCGAACGCTGACCGGGTCGGGTTGTTCCTGACGAAGCTTCTGAACACGTTGAACCTCCAGAAGGATCAATGCAGCGACTAAAACACGACAATTCACCGAAATCAGCTCATAAACCAACATATTAAAGCAGCTTTCAGCTTTTATTAGGAGACGATCTGTTGCTGTTACGTCAGAAACAGGCTGAAACGTGTTCATGACATAAAACTACAGACATCAGAAGACCGACTGTAAAAGCAACGAAATCATAAATGAAATCATATTTTTGCAGATTCACTATTAGTAAAAAAAAAAAAAAAGTTTTCTGAAGACGTAACGAACAGTTTTGCTTTGTTTGGTTTTTCAGAGAGAGAATATATAAAGTCATATTTTTTTCTGTGATTATCTGCTATTGAATGGAAAGTCTTTAAAATAACCTTAAAATAATATTTATTTTCTTGCAAATAATATATGTGTCAAATAATGATCATTTCTGTTGATTTAAATGCAGTAAAATTATTGTCATCTTATAGTTAAACATCGTAAATAAACATCAATAGGGTTTGTATATATCTGTACTAAAACTGGCCAAATCTGTAAAATAACATTTCAAAAATATTTATAATTTTTAATCCTTAATTCCTGTATTTTATGGTTAAATAATGACAATAACAAATAACAAATTATGTTATTGCATAATTTACTTTTTTTTGTAGGCGGACGTCATTTATGTTTTCATTCTGTTTTTGTTGAGTCAACATTCAAATCATTTCTTTTATTTTCTGCTCTTACTAGATATTAACTAATAAAACTGGAAAAATCTGTAAAATAACAATTTTTAAAAAATGTACAATTATTATTTTGTTTTCATTTTTTCTTTCATAATAGCAATTATTTGTGCAATTTTTTAAATTATAAAATATTTGTACTTACAATTTAACAAACAAGGAAAATCTGTAAAATAACAATTACAAAATATTTAATATTTTTTAATATCTGTGATTTTACTAGAAAAAGTGGAAAATATTTAAAATAACAATAAAAATGTTTTTAAAATATTCAATGCTTAATATATCATTTATTTTCTTGAAAATAGCACGTATGTGTCAAATTATTATTTATTGTATCTGTAAAATATGTAAAATAACAATTTTTCAAAAAAGTAAAACTATTACAGTTTTTAAATTGATTTTTTATTTCCTAAAAGCAGATATTTGTGAAATTATTGTATTTCTTACTGATTTAAATACAGCCTTGAAAAGTCTAATCTTACAGCCACACATTGCCAGAAGAAAACAAAACAACACAAACAACAAAAAAATTCCGATTTGTAAATGTGTAAAATATCTTCGTCTTTTTTTTAACTAAAGGAAAAAACGATCTCATTTAACAAAACAGCAAAAATCTGTAAAATATCAGTAAATTGTTTAAAACATGACCGTTAAAAACATGTCAGACTTTTTGGTTAAATCACCTAAATGGTGGTAAAACTGATGATTAATTGATTATTAATCTCATAGAACAACCAGTGGGAGGATCAAACCAGTTCAGCTTCTACGTCCAGAACATTTTGTTGGTCTGAAACCGACGTCATCAGCGGATCGACTTGTTTCTACGTCTGCTTCAACACAAGCTGTTTGTATCTCGTTAGAGGCCAACGAGCAATTAGGACGAACAATTCATCGATTTCAAACCGCAGTTGGAAACATCGTAATCAGTGAAGCGCAGAGGCTGCAGTTTGGGACGGTTCTGTTAAAAATTAAAAACTTGATTAAAAAACGGCCGCTGATGCAGCTCGTCGATCAGCGAGCGTGCTCAGTGTTTATGGAAGTAAACATGGATGGTAACGGTGGAGCGTATCTGCCACTCCCCCGCCGCCACCGATGGAGGAAACAGAAGTGTGAGCGCTAACTAAACTAGCATCAGCAGCCAAGTTCTGCCTGTGTGTTCTGGACACTTCCACCCCGTCAGAGCGCTGCCCCGGGGTGGAAGTGTCCCCCGACCAGGACAAATGTTCTGATATTCATCATTAACTGGGCCTGAATATCCAGAGAGCAGAAAGTTCTACTGGGACCAGAACCACTAGTTATTATAACAACTATGAACAATAATGAACAACTAATGAGCCTTCCAGCATCAAGCCCTCCTCGTATCTGGACCTCCGTCTGGACAATCCGACAGCCTTGATATCCGACATAGAAGAAGGTTTTACATTTAGTGTCGGATTATCGAGTCACGACTGTATGTCTGTTTGGTTCCACATGTGTGTGACCCGTAGCCTCTTGACCCACATGTGGGAGGACGTGCATCCGTCCTCGTGTCCAACATCAGTGTTCGAGGTAACAATGAGCACAAAGCGTTCGTCTGACGTCTGCGTCAGGGAGCGATCACAGATCAATACAGTCAGAGCACAGGAAAAAAAACCCAAAGATGGATTAATAGAACCAAAAAGTTCTGGACAGGATGCGTGTCGAAACCCAGTGGGTCGTTTCAGACACATTTTTAAACGATAGTAAAGTGATATTGATCAATACTTAATAGATTTTTATTAGTTATTGTTTCAGTACGTCACAGAAACGTCTTCTGGGCTGAAGCCAGTTAGAAAACTCACTATGAATTTATTTTCCCAAAGTTGTTGTAAAGTAAGGAGAGACACATCGCCTGCAGTTCAGCCGACACCTCCCATAACGGCTGATGGAAGCTGAACCACTGGTGGAGAATATTTAGATTTACTTTAATCTGGTTCCAGCAAATGATTGACTTCAGAACAAAGTGGTTTTTATGAAACATGACGACTTTTTAGCCTCATTCTGGTTCATGTGTTGGTTGAACGGCTGCAGCAGGCGACTGGTTGGCTGCTCAGGCTGATGGATTGTGTTGTTTCAGGTGTTTTTAAACCTGCTGCTGAGTTCTGGGGTTCTGGGGTTCTGGGTTCAGATGGTTTGATGGACATGAGCTGGTCCGGCTGCAGAAACCTGCTGCTGCTGCTCAGATCAGTCGTTTCCGTTCAGCTGAGGGTTTCTGGTGTTCTGGTGTCTGCAGAGCTTCCGGGTTCCTGCAGCACATCATGCATGTTCTACAGAACCGTTCATGAAGCCGTAGCATTCGGGTCACCTGGCGGCTTCAGTGCGTCGGGATTGAACCCTCGTCAGTGTCACAGGAGGCAGAGCTGCTGGTTTCCTGCACACGTCCTTGACATCTGCAGTAATCACAAATACAAACAG